AAAAAAAAAAAAAAGACCCTTAAGCAAAGACACTATACAATTTGTTTGACCCAATGATTTCCATTTGAAACAAAACGAAACTTTTCGTTTTGTGCACTTGCATGAAAATTTAAGGGAACAATTCATAAAAACAATAATGTTCTATTTCCTTTGCTCCAGTGATTCAGTATGTAGAAGTGTCACTTCAGACATAGGTAAGTTATCTTTTGCATGCAAGAAATTGGGTGCATATGTTCTGCTTTCTTGAAATGTCCTGTGTGGGATAGGGTTTTCATCTTTTGAAGTTATATGAGTCCTTCATATAAGATTAAATAATCATGGAGTTCTGGACTGGGATCCAGATGTTCTGCTTCTTAGGTGAGTGCCTTAGGCAGCAGTTACAGAATCATTTTCTGACTGTTTCTCAGTACCTATTTAAGGGGCTTAGGCTGAAATAGATATTCCAAGACAGGAAAGATCGAGACAGATTACTCTGTTACTTTAATAGACCATGCAGCTCCAGTCTTCATGCCAATAAGTATGTAGTAGTTTATACATAGTGTTAACAGGAGAGAATAAAAGCCTTTTTTGAATCCACGTACTTCAGAATGGGAGCAAGCTTGAGAGGTAAGGAGTTCTCTTGGTAGAAAAGTGTACATGTCTGAAGATACAGGAAGACTATAGGGGCTTCTAGGATGCTGGGTGAGATTTTTTACTAGTTCCCTTAGTCTCCCCTCCTCTGTGTATGCAAATAAGCTTTTCACTTCTCATATTTCTCATCTTAGGTCCAGACACTTTATCAGATGAGTTTTGGTGGAACCTAGATGTTAGCATGCTTCTAGGACACTGGTGAGCTATCTCAGTTCCTGTCTTTTACCTCCTCAGCTATTTTATTATTCCCTTGTACCTAGTGTACCAGTGACTTGACTACAGCTATCCAGTCTGTTTTCCCACCCCAGGATTGTATCTAATCCTGCCCTTCTCAAACATATTTCCAATTGTTATCTCTTCTTTGTTTTACAGTATATCCTTATCTGTTTGCCTGGACAGTTCAGGTTGTTCTCTGACTTGTCTTTAACTTCCTGTTAAAGTTCTAGCTTCTAGCCCCAGACATTCTGTCCAGCTGAAATAACATCTGTGTCAGATGCTACAGACTTGCATCCATACAGATGCCACAGATTTGCATCCATTCTCAGCACAGATGCCACCTGGTCTCCAGTTTTATCGACCTAAATGTTTTTTCCTTTCTCCCTAGAATCTTTACCCAGCTAATCCCAAACTGTTCTTCCCTCTCTCTCTGCTCTCTTCATCTCCCTCTGCCTGACTGCTAATTTGAGAAGGACCAGGCTTCTTGTCCAGATAGTCTCAGTCGGTCTGAGACTTCCACTTTCCCTAACTCCCAGTCCCCTGGGTGTTTTGTTTCCCAAATTCCATATAGTAAGCATGCAGTACTAGAGCATATCGAATGGAAAGTCTGGAAAGACTTCATCCGACTTCTGAAGAAGTCAATACTGAACATTGACTGTCACGTAATGCCTAGGTTGTGGGTGCAGCCAAGAATTACCATTAATACTTTTGAAAACAGTTGAAAAACTTCTGCTTAGTCAGTGGAATTCTGAAAAGATGTATGAGTATCTGTTGTAATGGAAATCTTTAGTCTTCCRATAAACGTCTGTTTTGGAAAGGTAACTTTGAAGTGTTTTAAGCACCTCTTCACTAGATATAGATACTTTAGTAATAATAAACTTTTGTTTTTCTGATTGTGAGTGTGCCATGAAAAGAAATCTGTCTTCTGCTATTCTAGTTAATTGGAATGATGCCATTTTTACTTTATCCAGTATTGTTTCAGAGCAGATGTAGCTCATAAAGCATTTTACTGTATACTGCTGGGAATTTGTAGTGTTGGGTTAATATGAAAAAGAAATGATTGGTACGTAAAGATAGAAGGTTTTGCCTGCAATATTGGCAAACACAGAAATTGTGTTTTTGTAGAAAGAGATCATATGTGAACTATTTGAAATACTTAACCACACAGTTGTTATTTTAGTAATTATTACCTACTGAGAGTTGGAAGGCATAGGGAGCAATATAATATGCTTGTTAGGCTGCTGGATCAGATATACTGTTTTGCTAAGCCATGCTAAACCTTCATATTTTATATTTTATGTTTTTCTAAGAATCAGTGACATAAAGGATGATTTCGTTATTCGTAATGTGTGTGTGGTCTCTTTGTAGATTCAAGGCATTAGCAGAAAGTTGCCGAGTTTTTTAGGCAGTTCAATGCTTAAAAGAGGGCTGCAAAAAATGCAGCAAAAAAAMCCCCATTCTTGTTGGTAGATCTTCTTTTTTTGGAAAGCGTATGTGATCTCAAAGAATTGGATGGAGGGCAGAAGGCTGTCTTCTGCTTCCAGGAGAAGCATCATTCTTGGAACTACTCTCTTCTTTGCTCTGTAGTCACATCTCATGTTTTGCCAGAGTGACTTCTCTGAGGTGCCAGTTAGAGTAGTTGTCTAACTACTGCATCATCAGAAAAGCACTGCTTTTCATTTAGGCTTTTAATATAACCTGATAATTAGAATATAAAATCTCCATAGTTTTGCAGCTCGTCTCTGGATGTCATAGTCTCATTGTACACGCAGATTTTTTTCTAGAAGATCTTTTAGGTGATGGTGAAGTTCTCTGTTCAGGAAAAAAATAAATTGCAGTGACCATTAAGCATTCACAACCTGCTCCCACCACAATCTACATAAATTACATAATGTGCATAATTTACTTCATGTGCTCTGCTTTAATATCTACTGTCACAATTGCAGAAATCTTAATGGTGGCTTAAGACTTGATCTAGGAGGCTACGAAAGGAAGGGAGTAGTCCTTGAATGAAGGGAGAAAGTGAGTCATTTATAATGTCAGGCTTTTTAGTCCACTTATAAAATGAACAAAATGGTTGAAAGCCCTGCATCTGTAATACAAACAGACCACTTTGAAAATCTCATCTTGCTTGGTCACCAGGCTCCTGTTGTGGAATATTCACTCCTAATGTGGTCTCAGTATGGGTATCCATAGCCTGCTGTCTTTAAGTCATTGGCCTTTTATTGTCCAGACCCTTTTTTATCTCGTTATACCAGTTTCGTTCTTGGCTGTCTTGAAAGCAACACACTAAGATGAGCTAGGATTTGGAAGGCTTTTTTCCTTTTGGATGACAATTTGTAGAAAAGTCATCCTAAGTCAAATTCAGCACGATGCCACCTGTCAAACTGCATAGAAGAACGTGAATTTTAAGTATCCATTTTAAGTATCAGGCTTTCTCTATACTTGTGGTTTAGTGATGTTATTCTCAGCTCTACATTGTAGATTAAAAATGTGTTTTATTTTCTTGATTAACTCGCATCCTTCATTTCAGCATTAAGATGACAGCTCTTTAGGTTGTTTGCAACTCTTTKCTAGCTATCCATAACAGATGACTTTTCTCTCCAACTAAATGATATCAGAAGCTTCGCAGAATAAACTTGGTTAGTAGCCAAGGAGGAAATGGTGATGGCAATAACTTTTACATTTAGATCGTCTATATTCACTAGAAAGCAAGGAGGCAAACCTCTGCCTTGAGAAATATTTTTTTCATTTAAATTTTATCCTGCTTCAGCTGAACAGCGACTTGTAACACGTTAAATCTAGGAAGGCACAGAGGCCAGAAAAAGCTCTGTGACAGCTATACGGCCAGCTGAAGATCGGATTCTGTCCTGGTAAGGCTGAGCCCTAGTGCAGTCAGTGAAAATAGTAGTCTTCATTATGCATGGGAAGTCTGCTACTCTAAAACCTCACGAGGAAGAGAATGCCACTTGATGTAAGGTTTCTTAAAAAGAGCATAAAGGACACTGCTGTTACGGCTAAAATATCCCGAGTGTACATTAGCTGCACAACCTTAATTCTACCCCTTGTAAAGAATACAGCAAGAGCAGATGGATGTTCAGTATGAGCAGAATAAATTAATGCTGATAACTGGGTGTCTGTGAGTAGCCTCTTTTCTGTAACCTGTGTGGCTTGGATAATTTCTCTGTCAATATTTATCTTTACTATGTAAATATGTTTTAGTGTGGTTAATCTAAAAATCTGTATTAGATGTATATAATTATACATATATGGTAGTATATACAATGTATACATCTATGATAAATTATACATGTAGGGTAATCGCATGTCATTTGCCTTTCAGAATTGTATCCAAAATTACACATTCCAGATTATGATAAGCGCTACTTTTTTCGAGGACTTTAACTATATCACAATATCAATTAATTAGTCTTCCCATTGTCTCTGGGAAGCAAGTTAGTCTAAGCCTTTGGTCTCTGAGGCTGTGTAAGTAGCATTTATTACAGACTTCAGAGAAAACTTAGGATAATTTATGTAAATTTGCTCAATGCATATATACAAATGTGTATTTGCACACATATACATGGAATGACTTGTCCAGCCCTACAGATTTGATTAAGGCAAACCTGAATGGCTGAAAACAGCTATTCTGTGTATAAGATTAGCAAATGACTGAGTCTTGATAAAGATCGTGAGGGACTTATACATATCTCAGGGTTTTACATACTTATCAACCTCTACATATATAAGTCATGGTTTTGTTGCTCTGGGAAATTCAACTATCTGAAGAACAATCTTTTACTTCTCTGTAGGGTGTATTTTAGAGTAACTGAAAAATTATGAGGGAATTAATGAAATTGAAGAGTACACAGAAAGAAATCCTTCTTTTTACTTTTATTTTCTTTTTGCAATGCAGCCTATGTACTAAGTACCATGTGCTTGCAGCCTGGTAAAATAAATACTTTGTAATTTGAGTGTTTGTTTAAAATAAATACTAAATGGTATGAAATGACATTGCATTCTCTTGGTAGGAGAATCATTTGAAAGTGAATAAATAGTTCTCATGATTAAAATGCTGCACACATTTCAGGAGGTTAGAGATGAAGCTTGGTAGACTTTCTGCGTGAATACTGGCAAGTCGCTTAATTTCTCTGCTCTCCAATTCCTGTTTTACAAAACTTTGTATGAGAAAACATTTTTTTCCTTTATAACTGTCTTGTTTACCCCTTTAGTAAATTCTCTGGGTACAGACAATGAGCTGGAGGGATATACGGGCATATATTTAKAACTGAATGTGATCTTTTTTGTTTTTCTTTCTTTTCAACAAACAATAAATAGAGCATGTGTTTTTGTTGATGCCATCACAAAGTGTAATTAAAAAAAAAAGTTTAATTAAAAAGTTACATCCTAAATAAAAGCTATTTGAAAAATATCCCAATGCTCAACACAGTTGAATAAATCTGAAATGACATTCACAGAGCAATATTGCAAGGTAAAAATATAGGTTAATTCAAATCATTCACTTGTTACTGCAGTGTTTTGATTTGATTGTCTATGTTTTCTCTGTAATTGAGGCAAGCAGAATTACTTGGAGGTTGTTTTGCTTTGTTTTCTTTAATCAAAACTTGTGATACTATATATTTTAAAATCTTTTCATTATCTCACTAACTTGGAAAAATTCCCTATTCAGTTTTAACCAGGTGCAAAACCTTGTGAGAGTATTCCACTGGTTCCTTCAGATTTTTCCTTTTTAACATGGTACATTCCTAGTAGTTGGTAGCTAGGAGTCTCTCTGATTTTATCCCTGTGTTTCATATGTACCTGTTTTATATTTCACTTTTGCTTTTTTTTTAAATTTCTTTTGGCAGACGCAGGGTGCTTGCTATATCCGATGGAATTGAACATATTGGGAATCTTCGCTGGGAACTTGCATTATGCCTTCTAGCTGCTTGGACTATCTGCTATTTTTGCATTTGGAAAGGAACAAAGTCAACTGGAAAGGTAAGTTTAAAATTCTGTGTATTAGCTGAAGTATGACTCATGTCCTCTATATTACTGTTTACATTTATTCGGAATGGTAGAATTTTAAATGTCTTACATTGTTGTAAGTAACTGTATTTTGGGGTATAGAAGTGTGTAACATGATTACAAATAAGTCATGCTGCGTTTTGTTTCTTTTGATATTTGACAGTCTTTTCTGTCTAATTGTGCAAGATAAGTCTCATTTCTTTGCTAGTTTAATGTTCTGTAAGAGTTATGAATTCTTGAGTCTTCAAACTGATGCTGAGTCAGTTTGATTTTTGCATACATGCTACACAAAGCTTGAATTTAACTCTAGATTGAAAGGATTTGAAAATCCCAGTGACAGATAAATTACACGTGTAGACTGAGGGAATTCAGAAATGTAAGTCAGAATTAGGAAATAAAAGTATGTAATTCAGAAATATACTAGAAAAAATACAAATTGTCATCCTTAAATTGGCTGCAATTCAAGGAGTAACATCAAAAGCAGGAACAGTGGAAAAACCTGGGAGGTGAAGATGGATAATGTATTTACAGAGTGAATGCTCTTGCATACTGCATATCCATCACAGAGAGACTTCTTTAAGGAAAGAAGTTGCCCCTAGAGGAGTACAAGACCTAGTTCTACACAGATTTTTTTTTCTCCATCAGCTGCATTTATGAATAATATGTGATTGAAATGATTTTTAATTAGAAAATGTCAAAATGAAATGTTTCAGCTTTGTTAACTGCAAATCCTTCCTCCTTACAATTTTGGCTGAAATTATTTGGTGAATTCAGTATCTCATTTGCTAACTGTGTCAGTCATTCTGGAACTGCATTTTTCATTTGAGCATTTGTGCACACAGATTTATGCAACTCTACTTTTTATCAACTCACTGCACAAAAGATACTAAGAACTGTCTAGAGATACAAAAACCAAAAATAGTTTAGAGGGAAGAGTAAAAAAACCTGAAGCCAAAAATGTAAAGAAGCAAAGGTGAGATAAGGAAATGACAAGATGAATACCCCCTACGCCTTTGAAGCATGCACACCAGGGAGATACAGAAGTGGTTTAGAGTTATCTGAGGAGCTACCACTGGCAGTAAAGAAATGAACCTGAGCAAAATAACGTTTCCTGTCTGACTAAAAGAATGTCTGAAGATTGAGATACATTTTCTCTCAAAGGCAGAGGGGAAAACACACGGTGTGTGCTTTTGTGTACATGTGTGTGCATGTATTCAGGCAGTGCATGCCATGCAAAGCTGTGCAAAACAGAACTTAAAAACAAAGTTTGTTCAAATCATTTGCTGACAGAGAAAGACTCAAGGGATCGCAGGGAAGGTACACTTTATATTTTTGCATTTCTGTGATTTAAGTTTCTCTGGGTCTTCATAAATATAACACATCTTATTTCTTCATTTTGAACTCCTACCCTTTTCCCACTTTGAGGAGGTAGTTAAAGTGCAGCTGAGCTGTTTGGGTTGATCATGAGTGTTGATCATTCTTTTGATCGCTTAGCTGAAACCTCAGCTGGTGTCTTGGTAGTGGGTAACTTATCATATATTTACACTACTTAGACTGGTTGCCCTAAGCAGCGGTTCTGTTTTCAAAACGCTGAAGATGCAGATAAGTAGATTCCTGTGGCTTCCTGTTCCTCAGGACATAGCGCAGCCATCAGCAGTCTCTCTATGCAGAGGATCCTTTGCTTATCAAGGAACGTGCAGTAATAAGGACCTTTCATAGACAATATGGGTCCTTTCTTTTTCCACTTCTGCTTCTGTAATTGGTAAAGGATGCTTTTGCTAGGTGAATATGCAACACTGCACTTGTTTTCCAATAATTTTTTCCCCTGTAAATAAGAAAATTTCCCTTTTTTGTCAGATTGACTTAAGGATTATAATATTCCTACATGTCTCTTATTAAAGCCATGGTCACTGGAAATCTTTGTCATCTCACTCTCTTCCCAGACTGGAGAAGTGCATATATATCAGTCTGGTCTTGTAGATCTTGCAAATGAAAGAAATGCTTTGACACAGTGATGGYGGAGTGGTCTTAGCTGCAGTTTTAGTTCATGTTTGAACTTGTTTTTTACACTAGACTGAGATACTAGGTGCCTATTTTCAGGACACATTTAAGGTTCTCCTAGACTTTTATTTTGGTAATATTGAAAGTGTTTTCAAACTAGCATGTTGAATTTACATAACACTTTGGTTGATTCAACTAATTTCAATACGACATTTAATCAAAGTGGAAAACTGCTTAGGTTTTTAGCACTTTCAGAAACACTTTCAAAGCGATATGTCTATGGACCAGAATAGAGAGAGGCAAAAGAGARGCAGCAGAGAAGACGAGAAAGGGAGCCCATGTGAAAGAGAAATTGACTGTGTTCACCTACCAGTTTAGTGAAATATTCAAGAGGTTTGTGCCTTTCCTCTTTTTACGCATCTTAATACAYAGTGAGAAGAAAAATCCAAGTCTTAAAAGCTGTCATAAAATAAACCCATCATTCTCCAGATAGTGCTAACACAAAACTACTCAGATTATGAATATTTAATATTTTAATATATTAAATATGTTAACTATAKCATATCTAACATCAAGCTGTACTCCACAGGAAGCAATTAGTGAGACRTTTCAGCCTTTCCCTGCACTGTTCTTCAATTGTCACTTTAAGCTCTGCCCAGTTTCTTTTGAAGTGAGGAGGTAGATTTGCACAAATGCATTGTGCATCTCTGTCATATTCCTCAGTCCAATGCCTCTCTGTTCAATCATCTTTTTGAATGYATCAACATATCTCTATGTGGAGCTGATCCTGTTAATTTTTAACTGTGCGAGGTCTGTACAGTTACAGAATCACAGGTTTGTTCGTGTTGGAAGGGACCTTGGGAAATGGTTTGTCTAGACTTGTTCAAGACAAGGTGAACACTGATTCAGACCGGTTTGCCTAAGGGATTCATTCACCTAAACTTTAAAAAAACTCCTTAAGGACAGAGATTTCACAATTCTTGGGGCCACTTGTACCTGTAGATAAGTGGTTTCATGACAGGAGTGATTTCTTATTTTTTTTTCTTCCTACATACAGTGTTTTTTCCAATAGTTAATTTTGTTACTGAATTATGTACTCAGTGGCTTCACCTTTTAATATTGCTATCATCTACTCTTGATTAAAACGTCTTTTATGTATGTATGTGTTACTGCATAGCAAGTACAGAATGGTTTTGAGGATCTGCAATTATTTATGCAAATAGAATAAGTTGAAAGCAAATTTCTATATTTATATTAATAAGCTAGCACTTGAATTTTTTCTTCTTGTCTTTAATTCCCAGCCAGCATCACTGACCTATATGTGAATGGCAGTTCTGGTTGATCATCACACAGCATGATGTGTGAATGTGGGACAGCCGCTCAGGCTTGCCCACATCTGTATGACATGATTATTTTATCTGTTTCTGAAGATAAGAGCTCTAATTGAAACAAAAGTGCTAAAATGCAACCTGAAGTCTTTATGTCATTTTTAAATATGGACCTTAGGACATTTTACAACATCCCAAGCTTTGTGTTTTTAAGTTTTTGGTTTTTCTAAAAGTTGTAAAAGTAGCCAGGAAGGAAAAAAACAAAGCTTTGGGGAAACTAACGTATTAATGGCTAATACATATAGGATAGAAGGACTGACTGAGGCAACAATTGCAATAAACTGACCTTGTTCACAAGCAGTGTCACATTTCTGGGAAAGTATTGCGAAGAACTGGACCTAATGAATGCTTCTTTGGAAAGTAGTTATGAAACGTTAAGAATTACATAACAATGCAAAATCTATTTAAGACTTCAACAGGTCCATTAGAGGGTTTTATAGGTAAACATTGCCAAAAACAACAAGTTTCATCCCACAGAACACTGGCAACAAGTAATACTGCTTTATGAACTTGTACCTCAAACCATTTTCTTTTTTGCGTTCCACTTGCACTGATTGCATTGATTATTGCATTGATTATTTTCATATAGCATTTTTTAGTGAAAATTGCATTGGAATTCATTATTAAATAATTTGCTTACAAAGATGAATGAATAATCTTTGTTACAAACAAAAAGCTTTGTTTGTAAGGGAAAAATGGCTAAAAATCGTGCTGAAAGAAATTATGCTAAGTTAGTATTCTGCAAAAATTAATGAGGTTTAACTAAAGGTGGAGAGCCGTATTCTTTTATCCTGTAATACTTTTGGAAACCTTTTGTCTTAGGCTCAATGAACTAGGCTCATTACATAATAGATACCCGAATCTTGAGTGTTAATTCCAAGCAAGCAAACCCCACACTATTCATTGCTATATAACTTGAATAAATAAATAAATAATAATTTTTAAAAAGTAATTCCACTTAAATTTTGGCCATGTTTTATCTTCATGTCAAGGAGAATCTGAGAATTCGTGTAAGCAGTTCAAAATCCAAACCTAAGCTGCCAGGCTCTGGCTGGCTGTGTGTAATGTCATCTCTCACTACTGACCTCTCTTACAATCTTTCTCGCTCCTCATGCATTTACACTGCTGGGCAGGGCAGTATGATTTATGGACATTTCACTGCTCATTCCCTCGGATAACTTCACTATCCAGGTTGGAGTCAGTAGAAGACACAGTACTGACAAGTGATTTTCCATCCTCATGGGATCAGGGCGGGGAGAAGGGCCAGCTGCCTGTGTGAGACAGTGAACACCTGTATGAACTGGCCTGTTCATAGGCAGAGCTCTTTGCTTATGCTAGGAAAGTCCATGAGTTCATCCTCTTCTGACCTCAAACAGATCCCTGCTTGCCCCCTCTGTGAACCATATGCAGTTCCTTTAGCTTCTCTCACAATTTGCATTTGTATAAGGGCTTGTGTATCTCTCCAGAAGACTTTTGGCTTACACATTCATCTGTCTGTATGGGTTTTGTGCCAAAATGTTCTGCATCCATTTTGTATTTCGTTGTAGTATCTTTGACATATTGACAGGCTTGTGTAGCAGTCAT